GGAGACAGAGGCCGGGAGACAGAGGGCCAGAGAGATAGATGGCCGGAGACAGAGGCCGGAGACAGAGATCGGGAGACAGAGGCCCGGAGACAGAGGCCGGAGACAGAGGCCGGAAGACAGAGGCCTGGAGCCTGAGTCTGGGCCTCAGGTACATGGATGGGTTACAGCCCACCCCAGGGCAGGCAGCTAGGTTCCCTGGCACAGTCCCCACCCCAGGACCAGAGTTCTAGGGCCTCCAATCGGTACCACCAACCTGTGAGAAGCCACCACCCTCACTCAGCACCGACTCACAGTTAATGAGAATGTCAATTCTGCCAAACTCCTTCAGAGCCTGGTCCACGGCAGCCATCACAGCTGGGGGTGCTCGGACGTCCATACAGAGAGGGAGGCAGCGCCGGCCAGTGGCCCCAGCCAGCTTCCTGGCGGCCTAGAAGCCCAAGTAAAGAGGCAGACAGCAGCCCTGCAGCCCCGGCCTGGAGAAAAGGCCTTTGGAGTCTGCAGAGGACAATGCGTCCAGGTTCCACTGGAACCCTGGGTTTGCTGCTGGGCCCCACTCTGGGGAAGCACAGCCTGCAAGTACCCACGGCCCTGGTAGATGTTTGTGGGGACCTGCCACACTCTCCCCGCACCGCCACCCGTCCTAGAATCCTCTCTCTGCATCGCCCTCCAGGCCACTGTCACCCATGTCCTGCCCCTGCCGCAGACCAGTGGCACAGGTGAGACTCTCCTCACAGGTTGAGGGCTCCGGTAGGTGGGATGCACGGACCACCTAAATAACCCAGGTGAGCCCAGAGATCTTTCTTGGGGCCACATTACCCCCAAACAGGAAGGTTCCTCCCAGGACCCAATAACTAGATTTTTAAAAAGTCAAAGAAGGCCGGGCGCGGTGGCTCAAGCCTGTAATCCCAGCACTTTGGGAGGCCAAGATGGGTGGATCATGAGGTCAGGAGATCAAGACCATCCTGGCTAACACGGTGAAACCCCGTCTCTACTAAAAAATACAAAAAACTAGCCGGGCGAGGTGGCAGGCGCCTGTAGTCCCAGCTACTCGGGAGGCTGAGGCAGGAGAATGGCGGGAACCCGGGAGGCAGAGCTTGCAGTGAGCTGAGAGCCGGCCACTGCACTCCAGCCTGGGCGGCAGAGCGAGACTCCGTCTCAAAAAAAAAAAAAAAGTCAAAGATGTCTCTGGTTGGCCACTTACACTGAAGCTCCATATTTAGAAGTGCAAGTTTTAGTGCCGGCTGGGCACGGTGGCTCACGCCTGTGATCCCAGCACTTTGGGAGGCTGAGGTGGGCGGATCACCTGAGGTCAGGAGTTCGAGACCACGGTGTCAACATGGTGAAACCTCATCTCTACCAAAAAAATACAAAATTTAGCCAGGTGTGGTGGCGGGTGCCTGTAGTCCCAGCTACTCCAGAGGCTGACGCAGGAGAATGGCGTGAACCTGGGAGGCAGAGGCTGCAGTGAGCCGAGATCGCACCACCACACTCTAGCCTGGGCGACAGAGCGAGACTCCCGTCTCAAAAACAAAAAAAATGTTGGTGCCAACATCCCCTTAGCCTCTGGACCCTCCTGGCCCAGGCCCAGCACCCCCGCAGCCACCCGCACAGGGGACCACAGGAGAGGTCCTCTCACCATCAGCACTCGTGGCAGGCTCCTGCTGGCGATCACCGTGTGGCAGCCGTGCCTGCAAAACCAGAAGCAGGTGTGAGGACAGTGCAGGCGAGGGGCACTCCCAGGGGGCGTCTGCCCGGCTCCTGGGCAGGAGTCTCTCGGGTGGAAGTACCAGTCCAGGACTGAAGGCCCAGCTGGCAGAGGGCACAGGGGCGTGAACAGGACTGAACAACTCTGGAGGGATCTCAGGTGGTGCCCACCCTGGGGTTTCTGGCATGGGACATCCCACCGCACAGGCCTGCCAGCCCTGCCCCAAACACCAGGTACAGAGACTGCTGTGAGCCACAGAGGCCCAGCCCACACATCTGCCTGGGGCCTGCTGGGCCCACATCCTCCACCCTCTTCTCCCTGTGGGGCTGGCGTGGAAGACCGTTCTGAAGCGGGGTGCTCCCTGCTCCCCTTCCTGACCACATGGATGCAAATCCACCACGTTGACCTCTAGGGACCCCGGTTCCAGGAAGGCTGCTATGATTTCCAATTTCCAGCTTATCTACTGTTCTTGCAGAAGAGCACAAAGATAAGTCCTGCCTTTAGGTCAAAACAATCTTGATGTTATCTTCAACAAATTCCTACACACTCCCTCTGAAGCAAGACCCTTTCCCTGTGGTACAGAAGCCCTGGGCCTAGGGGTAACAGCTTGGAGACACCTGTCTCACAGCCACCCGACTATGCTTCTGCCCATAAATTCCCCAATAAAATCACCTCACAGGGACTAACGGGATCTGTCTGCCTTGTTCTTTGATTTCTCCGCTCTTCTGGTTTGGGAGTTACTTCCCCACAACAGCCACAAAGGCGACTACCCCTGCTAGGCAGGCCCCACTGGAGCCGCAATGCCCCGTTCGGTCCTCAGCCACAAAGGCAGCTACCCTCCTGCTAGGCAGGCCCCACTGGAGCCACAATGTCCCATTCAGTCCTCAGCCACAAAGGCAGCTCCCCCTGCCAGGCAGGCCCCACTGGAGCTGCAATGTCCCGTTCGGTCCTCAGACGCCCCGAGCACAGAGCCACCAGTGGAAAGGCCAAATCTCTTCCTGTGGGACTCACCTTTCTGGTCTGAAAAGCAGGAGCCTCAGGGGAACCGAAAAGGAGTCCCTCTCTCCCACCTCAGCCTAACTCTAGCCGCTGTCAGGTGGGATACGTTGCTGACCCCGGCCTGAAGCCACAGAATTGTGTCCCAAGAAAAAATGTGCCCTGCCGGGCGCCAGCACTGAGACCCGACACAGCCCTGACTCTCGAGGTCCCAGCAGGCCCCAGACCAGAGCCACACAATCTCCATTGACCTGTAGGAGCCCCGAAGTCCTGACTCCCCCCAGGGCAATCCTCGACCCCTCCCCAGTCCCTCTGGCAGGCACCTGGATCCTGTCAGGTGGATGAGCAGGGGACTTCTACCTCCCACCAGCATCTTTCCAGGGGTCCAGCATCCAGCAGGGCCCAGGCAGGGAGAAGCGGGGAGCAGGGAGGGGACACAAAGCTGTCTCACCGCATGAAAATCTCAGCAATCCGGAACCCAATCCCAGAGCCGCCACCTGTGATGAAGGCCACTTTGTCCCTGAGAGTAAAAGAGCAGGCTCCGTTAGAAGAGGCCTGTTGGGCCAGGCCGGTGGCTCCCAGCACTTTGGAAGGCCAAGGTGGGCGGGCCACAAGGTCAGGAGTTCGAGACCAGCTTGGCCAATATGGTGAAACCCTGTCTCTACTAAAAATAGAAAAATCAGCCGGCCGTGGTAGTGCCTGTAGTCCCAGCTACTTGGAAGGCTGAGGCAGGGAGGATCGTTTTTGAACGCAGGGAGGCGAACCCGGTCTGCAGTGAGGGGAGACACCGCAGCTGCACGTCCAGGGGTCGCGGGCAAAAGGCCGAGCTCGTCTCAAAAGAATTATCTATGAAGCGCGCGGGTGGCTCAGGGCTGTAATGCCAGCTTTGGTGAGCCCGGACGAGCGGTCACGATCAGAGATCGACAATCCTGGCTAACCCGGTGAAACCGTCTTACTAAAAAATACAAAACACTAGACGGCGATGGCAGGGCGCTGTGGGTAGCCCGCTACTCGGAGCTGAGACAGAATGGCGTGAACCCGAGGCGAGCTTGCAGTGGCTGAGATCGGACTGCATCACCGGCGAAGCAGAAGCGAGCTCGGTCTCAAAAAAAAAATAAAAAAAAAATTGTAATGATAATTTAATAATAAAAAATTAATTAAGATAAAGTAAAATGTAAAAAGCCTGTTTAAATACACCCCCCATATTGCTTGTAATGGCAATGATTTAAAATGAAATTCGGTCCCGGGGCGGCCATGGCAGCGCCTATGAATCACAGCCTTTAGGGAGGCCAAGGCCCGCGCGGATCACCTCAGGTCGGGAGAGTTTGAGGCCAGCCACGCTGCCAGCATGGAGAAGCGCGTCTTTACTAAAACTACAAAAATTAGCCAGGGGCGTGCTGGCGATGCTGTATTCCAGCACTCGGGGGAGGCTGAGGGCAGGAGAATTGCTTGAACCCGGGAGGCAGAGGTGTCTCTGGTGAGCCGAAATCGCGCCATTGTACTTCAGCCTGGGCAACAAGAACGAAACACAGTCTCAAAATAAATAAATAAAATTAAAATTCCTAAAATTATAGTATTTTATATATTTATTTTGAAACTAATTCTAGCTACGTCATCCAGGCTGGAGTGCAGTGGCACCACCACGGCTCACTGCTGCCTTGACCTCCCAGGCTAGAAGGATCCTCCTGCTTCAGGGACTACAGGTGTACGCTATCATGCCCAGCAGCTTTTTCTTCTACTTTTTCTAGAGAGGGGTATTGTTTTGTTGCCCAGGCTGGTCTTGAACTTGTGCTGACACAAACTTGCAAAGTGCAGTGGGGGAAAGAGTATTTTGGTGTACAGGCTCATGCCTGTAAATCCCAGCGTAAATCGCCAGCACTTTGGGACATGCCGAGGTGGGTCTGGGATCAACCTGAGGGTCCAGGCAGAGTTCAAAACAACGCCTCGACCAACATGCGTGAGACCCATCTCTCTAAAAATACAAAAAATAGCCCGGGCGCGGGCGGCTGAGCGCAGCAAATCTGCTTGAACCCACGGAGCGGGGAGGTTGCCAGTGAATTTCGACCAGAAATTGACAGAACGTAGAATTACACGAGATAAAAAAAATAACCCTGGGTTAAACAAGATAGAGCGTTATCGTTTCCATCTCTCCTAAGACGCCTGCATGCGCATCGAATGTCCAAAGATGATTCCTGAGATTCAGTGAGCTAGCGTCAGGATAATATTGGGCTTTTTTAGATGCTTTCTTTTTTATTTTTGTTTTTTTTGAGACGGATCTCGCTGTGGTCGGCCGAGAGCTGAGTGCAGTCTGGCGGATCCTCAGCTTCACTGCAACTCCGGCCTCCCCGGTTTATGCCATTCTCCTGCTCAGCCTCCCAAGTAGCCTGGGGACCTGCAGCGGCCGCCACCCTCCTCGGGCTAGTTTTTTGTATTTTTTAGTAGACGACGGCGGTTTCACCGTGTTAGCCAGGATGGTCTCCATCCTCCTGACCCTCATGATCCGCCCCGCCTCGCTTCCAAAGTGCGGGATTACCGGCTTGGACGCCACCGCGCACCGGCCCTTATTAGAGATTCTTTTCCTGTGTACAATTAAATGTGTTCCTCCGAATCGGGCTATGCACTGTCACACATTGTACACACAGATTCGCATGGGCAGCAGCTCTGACGCAGGCTTTGCGTCTTCCTATTTCCTTAATGATTAAAGATTACTCGTTTGGGTCCCCAGGCCGGCAGTGGTCTCCTACTCGCTTGTAATCCGCCAAAGCTTTGGGGAGGGCTGAGCACGGTGCGAGTCATCTGAAGCTCGAGGGAGCTTCTACAGACCAAAGCCTGAGTCAAGCATGGTGAAAGCCTCCATCTTACTAGAAACGTTACAATTACGGGCGCCAGCGTGTGGGGCCGTGCGCGCTAGCCAGTCCCACTTGGGTCCGCACTGCGAGAGCTGCAAGGCAGAATTGGGGCTGGGCATCGGAGGAACGTTGCTTGAACCCAGAGTGCAGCACTCCCGTTGTCAAAAAGAAATTTTTTTTGTTTTTGTGTTTTACCCTTGGGCCAGCAAACATCAAAAAGAATTGCATCCATACGCTTTCGCTTGGGAGAAACATAACTTAAACTTTTTTTTCTTTGCTCTTTTTTTCTTTTTTTTTCGAGCGACACGGGAGTCTCCTGCTCCGTCACACGCCAGTGGAGGGCAGTGGCCGGCTCTCAGCTCACCCCTGGCAAGCCCGCCTCCCGGGTGTCTCGGCCCCAGTTCTCCCTGGCCTTCAGCCGTCCCGAGTAAGCTGGGAGCTCAGCAGCGCCCTGGCGCACCGAGTTCGCCGCTAAGTTTCTTGTCTCAGTGTTAGTAAGAGATCGGGGTTTCACAGGCTGTGTTAGGCAACGGATGGTCTGCTCGATCTCCTGATCCTACATGATCGCCCAGTCTCGGCCTCCAATCAGTGGCTGGATTCACAAGGCTTGCAGCCATCCGCTGCCCGGGCCTCTTTTTCTTCTTTTTTTTTGAGAACCTTTTTTTTGGCAGTTTCCTCCTGTTTGCCCCAAGCTGGAGGGAGCATGGCGCGATCCCGGGCTCACTGGGCAACCCCACCTCGACCGGGTTGCAGCGGTTCTCTCCATGCCCCTCCGCAAGTCGCCGGATTACAGGTGTGCAGCCACACCCCTTTTTGGTATTTTTCGAGGCTGGTTTACCTGTTTCGCGGGGCTGTTCTCGAACTTCCTGACCTCAGGGTGATTCTCCCACCTGTCGGCCAATGCCCAAAACGCGCTGGGCCAGTTCAGCGCAGGCGCACTGCTCCTGGCAAAAGATTCACATTCTTGTCACCATAAATACCCCAACATGTGATGGCGAATTGAAAAAAAAGAAAAAGGAAATGAAAAAAAAAATGATCCGCCCATTGGCCCAACGTAAAGGGGAGGAACTTCCCGCTTACCGGGCTGGGCCTTCCCCCTGTGACACCAAGGCGGTTTGGCGGAAAAATGAAAGGCCTGCTGCACAAAACCCGGCATTCCTGCCTTTCTGGTCTCGGAAAAATGATTTCTGAACCCTAAAATTTTATGTTCAACGAAAGCACGAGAGCCAGGTTGGGCGCGCGCGCACGGGGCTCACGCCTGGTACATCCCACCATCTCTGGGAATCCAGAGGGCGGCCGTGGCATCACCTGAGGTCCGGGAGTGTTCAGATAGAGCTGACCAACCATAGTGAGGACACCACCTCCTCTCAAAAAGTACAACAAAAAGGTTGAGCCGGCAGGGCCCAGGGAGAATCGCTGAACTCCAGGGCGAGAGATTGGCAGTTGAGCCAAGATTCTACCGCCAACCTGCACTCCAGCCCCTGGAGATCAAGAAGGCGAGACACTCTCAAAAACAAAAAGAAAAGAAAAAAGAAGGAGCCAGGGCTGAGACAGGTTGTCCTAAGCACACGGCCCTCGGTGGGGACGCCTGCCGGCCGTCTCGGCGCTAAACGGGGAACCACGTGGGGGCGCCCCGCCCAGCCGACCGGATGCCGCACTCGAGGCCTGCGCCCCTTCCCGGGCCCCCGGCTCACCGGCAGCCGAGGTCCGGCAAGAAGGAGGTGACGGCGAACGCGGGGGAGACAGGTCGTCCCACCGTCGGTGCGCGGCTGGGCCATGACCTCGCGGCGCGAGGGATTGGGGAGCAGGCGGCGAGCTGGGGGTCCCTTGGCCTCCCGGGACCGCCGTGCCAAGGT